GTAGATCCTGTCTCTCACAAACCCTTCCAACAACTTACCCATCATTGATGTTAAGCTCACCGGTCTGTAGTTCCCTGGATTTTTCTTCCAGCCTTTCTTAAATAATGACACAATATTAGCCATCCTCCAGTCTTTTGCCACCTCACCCATGGCTGTCAATGAAACAAATATCTCAGCTAGGGGCCCCACAATTTCTTCCCTAGCTTCCCACAATGTCTTGGGATACACTTGATCAGGTCCTGGGGATATACCTGCTTTTATGCATTTTAAAACTTCCAGCACCTTCTCTTCTGTAATGTGGACTCTTCAAGATATCACTCTATATTTCCTCAAGTTCCATACCTTACATGTCTTTCTCCACAGTGAATACTGACGTGAAATATTCATCCCACAGGGATTGGTGCTGGGACCCCAACTATTCATAATATATATTAATGATTTGGATGAGAGAACAAAATGTCACATCTCAAAATTTGAAGATGATAACAAGTTGGGTGAGAGGTGAACTGTGACAAGAATGCAGAGATCCTTCAGCATGACCTGGACAGGTTGGGGTGAGTGGGCAAATCAATGGCAGATGCAGTATAACAAATGTGAGGTTATTTGGAAGCAAAAACAAGAAGGCAGATTACGAGCTAAGTGGCTGTAAATTGGGAGAGGGAGTGTGCAGCGGGATCTGGGTGTCCTTGTGCACCAGTTGTTGAAGGTAAGCATGCAGGTACAGCAGGCGGTAAAGAAGGCAAATGGTATGTTGGATTTCATTGCGAAAGGTTTCGAGTACAGGAGCAGTGATATATTGTTGCAGTTACACAGGGCCTTGGACCTGGAATAATGCGCGCAGTTTTCACCACTCTTTGGTGAGCCTGTGGAATTCATTACCACAGGAAGTAGTTGATGCCAAAACATTGAATGTATTCAAGAGGCAGCTAGATATAGCACTTGAGGTGAATGGGATCAAAGGTTACGGGGAGAAAACAAGATTAGGCTATTGAGTGGACGATCAGCCACTGGAATCTACTATGTTATGAATCCTTTTTGCCCTCCTCATTTTCCTCTTTACTGTACTCCTACATCCCTATATTCCTCAAGGGATTCACTTAATCCCGGCTGCCTATGCCTCCTTTATTTTCTTGACCCGAGCCCCAATAGCTCTAGTCATCCAATGTTTCCTATTACTCTAGCCTTGCCCTTCATACTAACAGGAACGTGCTGTCCCTGAGCTCTCGTTATTTGTTTTTGAAAGCCTCCCACTTGCCAAATGTCCCTTTACCTGCGAACAGCCTCCTCTAACCAACTTCTGGAAGATGGTCTTGCTCCAGTTTAGAACTTTAACTTGTTGCCCAGGCCTATGCTTTTCTATAACTATTTTAAAACTAACAGAATTATGGTCACTGATCCAAAGTGCTCCCCCACTAACACCTCAGTCACTTGCACTGCCTTAGTTCCAAGAGAAGATCAAGTTTGACCCCTTCTCTAGAAATGCCATTTACATTTTGATTCAGAAAATTTTCTCAAACACACTTAAATTCCTTCCCATCCAGGCCTTTAATACTATGGCAGTTCCAGTCTATGTTTGAAAAGGTAAAATCCCTTTCCAAACATATTGTTTAGAACCCTATTGTATTTACAGTCATCTGTGATCTCCCTACATTTTTTGATCCTCAATAACCTGCTGACCACTGGGGGGGGAGCCTACAGTACAATCCCATCAAAATGATCATCCCATTCTTATTTCACAGTTCTACCCATAGAGCTTCACTGGACAATCCCACAAGAATATCTTCTCTAAGTACTGCTGTGATATTTTCCCTACTCAAAAACATTACTTCGCCCTCCTCTGTCACCTCCCCTTCTATCTTTCCTATAGCATCTGTACTCCTGAACTTTGAGCTGCCAGTCATTTCCCTCCCTCACCTATGTTTTTGTAATAGCAATGATATCCCAGTCCCATGTTTCCATCCATGCCCTGAGTTTATATGCCTTATCTGTCAGGCCTCTTGCATTGAAATAAACACAGTTCAATTCATCAGTCTTCCATTGTTCTCTCCCATACACTTACCTGCCTTGTCTATTTAACTTGGTCTCTTTAACTTCTGTACCAGTCTCAACCTTCCCTCTTGTCTCAGTACTGCTTAAGGTCCCACCCCTCCACAGACTGGTTTAAACCCTCCTCAGTAACTCTAGCAAAATCTCCCTTCCAGGATATTGGTCCCCCTCCAGTTCAGGTGGAACCTCTCCCTCTTGTACAGGTCAACTTCTCCTCCAGAAGAAATCCCAATGATCCAAAAATCTGAATTCCGGCCCCCTGCACCAACTCTATCGCCACACATTCATCCACCCTATCCTCCTATTCCTACTCTCACTAGCACGTGGCCCCAGGTGCAATTGACAAATTAATTCCCTTAAGATCCTGCTTTTTAACCTCCTGTCTAACTCCCTATATTCACTCTGCAGGACCTCATTCCTTTTCCTACCTATGTCACTGGTACCAACGTGGACGACAGCCACTGGCTGCTCATGCTCCCTGTTTCAAGAAGCATCATTGCACAGCTCAAATAACATGCAGCAGTTGATCATTAAGTTGCAAAGCTCTTTTTCTTTTTATATAGTTACAGCAGTCCAACTTCCATTTCAGTTTATAATTCCAATAAGGAAAATATGGTCTCTTACAACTCACATCCCTGCCTTCATTCAACCCCACCTTCCCCTTCCCTCCCACTGCAAAGAATAATTAGTTAAATTTGACCTGTTTTAACTCAATGGGCCAAAGGACCTTCTTTTGTACTGTAGACATCTATGACACATCCATGTCCCCCCCTCCCCTTACACTGCCCTCATCTCTGCCCTCCCACTGTCCGTCATCTCTCCATCCAACCCTCACAACCTCTTTCCCAAAGTCTGACAGTTGTCAAGCATATAAAAGAATGAAATAGTATGGGAATCAAGGTTTATGGGGATATAGCAATAAAGTGCAGTTGAGATCTAATTGAATGGTGGAGCAAACTTGAGGGGTTGAATAACAGACTTATGGTCTAATCATCTCATCCCAGATTTGTGCAGGCGTTCTTCAGGGTAATGTCCTAGGCCCGACCATCAACTATTCAATTATAGATTTCCCTCCATCATAAGAATGAAATGGAAAGTCTGTTGACAATTAGTCTACAGGTGTTAATCTGCAACTCATCAGAAAATGAAACAGTCTACTCCCATATTTAGTGGTGATAAATAATATTCAAGTTTGAGTGATAAGAGGGAAGTTCTATTTGTGCCAGAAAGGGCAACTACCATCTCCAATGAGAGAATATCACTACATGCAAAGGTAATACTAACTGTTTGATTGATTGTACCAAGATACAGTGAAAAGTGTTGTTCTGCATGCTATACAGGCAGATCGTACCATACAAAGTGCATCAGGGTAGCAGAACAGAGTGCAGAATACAGTGTTACAGTCACAAAGAAGGTGCGGAAAGAGAAATATTGTAGCAACAAAAGTAGGGTATTCTGCAGTAAATAATTCACTAGCTACACACCAAAACCATCTACAAGAAACAATGTGATACTGCCTTCTCTTTTTAAAAGTTGTGGGATGTGGACATCAATAACTTTGCCAGCACTTACTGACCATCCTTTATTACCTAGTGGTGGTGAGCTGTCTTCTTAAACCACCGCAGTACATGTGGTGTAGGCACATCCACATTGCTGTCAGGAAAGGAGTTACAAGACTTTGATCCAGCAACAGTGAAGGAACAGTGAGATAATTCCAAGTCAGGATGGTGTCTTGGACAGGAATTTGCAGGTAGTATCTTTCCATGCATCTGACACCTTGTCCAATGTAGTGGTAGGAGTCATTGGTTTGGAAGATGATGTTGGGGAGCCTTGGTGACTAACTATAGTGCATGTAATAGATTGTACACATTGCTGACAGAGTGTCAGCAAAACGAGTAGCACAACTTCAACAACACATGAAACTCAACACCATATAATAAGCACTGTTAGTAGATACCCATCTAAAACCTTGAATGTCACCAGCAACCTCACACTTCACTACCCCCAGAGGCGCACTAGATGCAGTAAATATTGTCTAAACATTGCACACAAGTTCTCAACAGCACCACACAACTGCTCTGGTACCTAAAAGAACAAGAACAACAGACACAAGATCATGAGCTCCTCTCCTTTCTGAATTGGCAATATATTGCTACTTCTGCCTCATTACTGGATTATAATTCTGGAACTACCTAAATAACAGCAATGTGGGGAGACCTACACCACATGGACTGCAGTGCTCCAAAGAGGATCTCACCGTTATCTTAAGGGCAATTAGAATGGACATTAAATGCTGGCCTTGCTCATGACATACATAGAAGATAAAATGAAAGAGAACCACCAGGCCATCAGTAGTAATTTCCCTTCTTTTGTTATCAAGTTATCCAATTTAGGAGAGATGGTAGTATAGTGGTAATGTCACTGGATTAGTAATCCAGAATTCCATTCTAATGTTCTGGACACAGGAGTTCGAATTCCACTATGGTAAACCAATCTGCCAATTGGCAGATCTTGTAACTGCTGAATTATTGTAAAATCCCATCCAGTTCAGAAATGTCGGTTAGGAATGGAAATCTATCAATCTTATCTGGTTTGGCTTACATGTGACTCCAGGCCCACAACAATGTACTTGACTTTTAACTGCCATGTAGGCAATTAGAGATTGGGGAAATGCTGGCTTAGTCAGCAAAACCTACAAGTAATAAAAATAAAACTTCTATGCTGGAAAAAAAGACAAATCAATCTTGCTTCATCTGGTCTTGAACAACTCGTCCTCTGGTGGTGCCACATCATACTTGGCATTTGCAGGTTTGTCATACCTGAATACTGTTATGATAAAATATTTTCTTTTATGCAGTTAATCCTCAGTGCAGTGAGAGGATTATTTTTATATTTTATATTGCGAGCAATCAGAAAGAAAATGTAACAAAGTGGTGTAACAAGCTTGAAAGGTATCAATTTTATGAAGCAATTTATTTCCATCAAATAAGACAAAACAAGTCTTGTAAATACTTCGTTTTGAAGAATGCAAGAAATATTCTAACTAAAATAGTTACAAAAAATATTAGTCTTCCAATCTGAGGAAATTTACATGTGAGACAAGACTAAACAGAAACACTTGCAATTCTTTTCAGTGCAAGTTTAAGAAAAATGTTGAATTTCATCGGGCATCAAAAACAACCACTGTGAAGATTCAAGTTAAGGAAGAAAATATGGATTGTAAAACTAGAGCTACTTAAAATCAAGCACAAAACCCTCCATTGTTACAGACATTAACGGTGGTAAATTCATCAAGCAGTACATAAACTACAATGTAATACATTTAAGTCCCCACTCAGAGTTAACTCTCATAACATTACTTAATCAGTGGAATTAAAGCAATGTCAATATATTCACCTAACACTGAGTTTTGCTTTAACATCATTCATGACCTTTAAAGTTTTGGTAAAGATCTGTAGCGCGGGTTGTGGGTGAGGTTGTTGACTTGCTTACTGAGCTGGCTTGTTTTTTGTCCAGATGTTTCATCACCATGCTAGATGACATCATCAGTGAAGCCTCTGATGAAGGCAATGATGAGATTATGGTATCCTTTGATGTCGCAGCTTTATTCACATCAATTGACATCCCACTAGCCAAAGAAACAGTGGCCACATTACTAGAGGAAGCAGCAACGCAGACCAGTAGCTCCATCAGCAATGACAACATACTTAAACTCCTAAACCTGTGCCTCACCTCGCACTTTGTCTTTAATGGTCAAGTATACAAACAGACCAACAGTACACCAATAGAGTCACCCATCTCAGGACTCATTGCAGAAGCCTCCCCTGCATTAAACCTAAACTGCGGATCTGGTATGTAGACGACACATTTGTCATTATTAAACGCAACAAATTAGAAGAGGCCCACCACCTCATCAACAACGAATTCACAAGGATTAAATTCACAAGGGAAGAAGAAAACAATAATCAACTTCCATTTCTGGATGTTAAAAGTTGAGCATATGACCAACAGGGAGTTCCAAACCTCAGTATACAGAAAAGCAACCCACACTGATCAAATCCTCAACTTCCACAGCATCCACCCCAACGTCCACAAACAAAGCTGCATTAGGACACTATTTAAATGGGCCAGAACACACTGCAACACTCCGGAACTAGGAAGGCAAGAGAAAAAGCACCTACACAAAATCTTTGCTGCGAACGGATATTCCCGCAACTTCATTTGTAGATGCCTATTAAACAGACAACAACAGGAGGACACAGTATGCCCTAACACACTGGCCACACTGCCCTACATCAAGAACATAGCAGAACTGACAGCAAGACTCCTAATATCACTAGGAATCATGGTGGCACACAAGCCCACAGCCACTCTACGACAAACACTCAAGGATTAAAGACCCCATTAAAGACAACATGCAGAACCACGTGGTTTACAAAATATCACGCAATGACTGACACAAACATTACATTGGACAGACGGAAAGGAAACTAACCATCAGAATATGTGAACATCAGCTAGCAGCAAAACGGCACGACAAGCTCTCCTTAATATCAGTACACTCAGACTATGAAGGCCATCAGTTTAACTGCGACAAAGTAACCATAGTAGCCCAAGCCAAACATAGACATGCATGAGAATTCCTACAGGCATGGTTCTCTACCCGTAATTCAATCAACAAACACATAGAATTGGACCCCATATACAAACCCATACAGATCAAAACCGGAAATGCCACTAGTCACCATAACGGACCAAACAGTATAAATTCCAAACTGAGGAGAATAACACTGATTCATTGGAGACTCCACTGATGATGTCACCTAGCATGGTGGCGAAAAGTCTGAATGAGAACAAGCCAGCTCGGTGAGCAAGTCAACAACCTGTTCATTCATGACCTCCGCAGTGCTCATGGTCCTTCCCTCAGGTCTTCAAGACCCTCTTCCCAGCTCCTGACACCACCCTCAACTCTTAAGTTCCGAGTGTCCGTTGTAAGCACTGGGCACTTCAGCTGCTCCTCCCACTCTGCTTGGTTTTCTGCCTGAGTTCCTTCCATTACTCTCTTTCTGACATTGGCCCTGGGTTTGTTCGACAGTTGTTCTCTGCTTGTGGCCGCTACCTCCCATTCAGCTCATAAGTCCTGTGTTCTATCTACTGACAAAAGTTGTTTGATGCAGGTAGTTAGGCCTGGCCAGCAGATACCTGAACTGACTAACTCTGCCACTCATTGAAACCTGGCCAGTCTAAAAGTACAATACTTCAGAAAGTTGTTTTAAAACACTATAATGTATTCCACTCAATATTTGATATTTAGTGACTTATTTTAGATTGCAAATAATTTTGACTACAAATATTCTTACAGTTTAGTATTTCAACCTGGACATTGTCTTTTCCTGAGCAAAAATTATTCCACAGAAACACAACTCTGGCATTAACATTGACTTGGGAAATCATGCCTCACTTAAAGCAAGTAGTATGGATGCTGGAGATCTGAAACGAAAATAGTATGTGGAGAAACTCAGCAGGCTGGCAGCATCTGCAGACAGAGACACAGAATTAATGACTTGAATCCAGTATGACTTTTCTTCTGACCAGAAACCAGACCACTGTGTTTCTGCACTTTGTTTTTATGTTTCACTTAGAGACGTGATTTCAAGAATGCAACTAAGTGAGGACTTGCTGTAGTTTTCAACAGTTAATAGCATTACTACACTCAATTCAGCAATCCAAGAAGCCCAAACTTGGATATTATTAATAAAAATCAGCATAACGAAAAGTGTTTAATAATGGTCACATTTCAGCTTAGATCCCCACATACACTGTATATGTTACAGGCAAAACATCAAGGCATTAAACCATTGTAATGCTATATTGCTTAAGGATACATCTCTTTGTTCTCTTCTTGTACATTATTCTGTAACCACATTCTCGGCATCGGATTGGATCTCTCGCTTTAATTTCATTTTCGGTATGACATTCTGCAACAAATAAATAATTAAACAGCCCAGTGTTCAACATCTGTCATAATTATATTCATGTCAGATTCATTTTTAAAAAGGGTGCATAAATATATGTCTGTTGAATGTTGCTTGTATACAGACCTGTGTGCACATAGGGAAAAAAAACTAGTTTTCTGAGCAGTTTCTCAGCAAGAGGAATGAGTTCTGCATATGTCAGTGAGACCAGTTGCCAATTTATAGTGACAAATCAATTCACTGCCACTGGTATCAATTAAAAACTCAGATGTTAAGAAAGATTACTAGACACAAGTATAGGTCTTTAATGCACAATGATGAAGCTTCATTAGAAAATGGCATGAGACTCATGCAGCAAATGTAGCTTTAAAAAAAGGGAAAAGTTCTGATTGCAAACAATTTACCAAACAAAGCATCAACTTGGCCACCATAACTAGCTAAATGAGAACTCAACAATTTATTGACCTCAAATTGGGAGACACCTTTGAAGGTGGTACATTCAAGGTGATCTCTTGTAATTTAGATCATACAGAAAATTTACACAGTGCAAAATCATCAAGAACTCATGAGTAGTCAGAAGCTCCGGAACAAATGAAACACTGGCACAATGATTGAATTAATAAAAATAGAATCAATAAAATATTTTCTTGCGTGAAACATGTATGACAAGTTTTATTTAAGATAATATATTTTATATGATATCTAACTTTAAATTTTCATAACTGGTTATATTGTGGGTGTGTGGCAGAATCAACTCAGATGGTGTTAAATCTTCTTTGAAGAAACATCAAGAAAATTAACAAATATGTTAATTATTGTGATGTTAAAAGTGATATTTATCCTTTATCATACATTTGTGTTTGAGTTATTAATTTGAGGGTCTTCTGTGTGTCTGAGGTTAATTATTAACTTTTAAGTACTTCTGTAGCCATGGTGATTTCTTTACTGAAATTGAATTGAATTAGCTCTATTGTCATATTTAGGCAAATGAGTACAATGAAAAGTTGCTACTTTAAGGCCTGGCTTTAGAGTGAATAGGTTTTCGTGCACCATTAATGAACTTCTGTTCATTTTAGTTTGTTTAGAGTTCTAGCAACGTATATAATGGGATCTTAAGGTTTGATAGATATTTCGGGAACTTGGTTTTGTTTAAGCTTAAGGAAGATACTGATAACTTAGACAGAGACTTTTGGTTTTAGTTTTACTTTGAGTGGGGCAGTCCTGTGAAGGCCCTGGATGAAGATTGTTGTTTGGATCAGTGTTCCCAGGAACAGAACAATATAAAGTGAACTAAGCTGCATTACTGTGAAAAGTTAGTATTATCCCCAGGCCAGAAATGAAACCCTGAAGAAATTAGTTAAAGTGAAGTACATTTAAGCTCAAGTATGTAACAGCTCCAGGAAGAGGCTATCTGCAACTCCAGTCTATATGCAACCTACTGAGGTGCCAGATACAGGGTCACTGGTGTGAGTTTTATACAAGTGGTAGGTTTTGGGTACTGTACAGAAGTTTGTTTTTTATTTTTTTAATTTTAGAAGAATGTTTCAGGATTAGTGAGATCATATTTTTATTGTGCTTGAAAATATGTATGTTGTTTAGTTTCTGTCTAATTTATCTTTTCTAAAATAAAGAACTTATGTTTTATGAGTTTTATATACTTATATTTTAGTAAAAGACCACTTTGTTAAAACCAGAACAGATCAAAATATGATCCATCAAGCCAGGTTTCAGTCTAGAAAATATGGTTTGTCCAGTAATAACATCAGCTGAGGTAAGAAGACTGTTGCAAATACTGAAGCTTTTTCTTTTCGATGTCAAAACTAAATGTTTGAAAAACAAGAATTCACTCTCATACAACATTGTAAAGTAGTTTTAAATATCTGAGGCAGCACATGCTTACGATTCCAAGGTGGATTACACAGCTCTGGAAGCATTCTACAGCTCCTGCCACCATACCCACCCCAACGGATGAACAAGGTTGTACAAGGCAGTGATCAGGAAATAGACAGTGGTTTACTTTGTTGAGTTTCAATTGCACTGGAACGACTGCATTTTTCTTTGTCACTTCTTCATCAAAAATCAGGGTTGTCTTCAGCAACAACACAACAAAATAAATCCAACTTCAATTTATACAAAGTTTGATCACTGAAAGTTAAGGCAACTGGCTTCTCCTACTCCACCCAATTTTACTAACCTCTGAAATCACAATGTAAATCAATCTTTTCCTATCTTTATAGCAAGCATATGAACTATAACAATCCATTCTCCAGCTGATGTGTATGGTGTTATGTTAATTGCTAAAAAGTGCAACAGACCAACATGACAGCAAGTTTCCTCCTCTTTCTGTACCATTAATCCCCTTCTAAAAGGAAACAAGGGAAAGAAGTGAGGATGTTTTGGACTGTACACACATGACCAGAGGGCAGGTCTATGCAGCCTTAGATCGCATTAAGGTGCATGAATCCCCTGGGCCTGATTAAGTCCATCCTCGGATATTGTGGGAGGCTAGGGAAGAAACTGCAGTGATTTTTGCTTCATCTTTAGCGACTGGTGAAGTTCTGGAAGACTGGAGGGTGGCTAATGTTGTTCCATTGTTTAAGAAAGGTAACAAAGACCAGCCAGTGAGCCTGACATCAGTGGTAGGCAAGTTATCAGAGAGTATGCTGAGGGACAGGGTCAACCAACATTTGGATGGTCAAGGTCTGATTTGGGATAGTCAGCATTGATTTGTGTGCAGGAAGTCATGTCTAACAAGTCTTTTAGAGTTTTTCAAAGAGGCAACCAAGAGGATTGATGAGGGTAAGAGCAGTGGATGTTGTCTGTATGGACTTTAGTAAGGCCTTTGACAATGTCCCACACGGCAGGCTAATCATGAAGGTTAGGTCGCATGGGATTCAGGGAGAGCTAGCTAATTGGATTCAAAACTGGTTCGATGGTAGGAAGCTGGGGGTGATGGCTGAACGTTGCTTCTCGGACTGGAGTGGTGTGCCACAGGGGTCAGTGTTGGGACCTTTGTTATTTGCATAAATGTAAATGTAAATGATCTGATGGGAATGTACAAGGGCATGATTAGTAGGTTTGCGGATGATGTAAAATTAGAAAGTGTAGTTGATAGTGAAGAAGTTTATCAAAAATTATACAGGGATCTTGATCAGATGGGGAAATGAGCTGAGGATTCGCAAATGCAATTCAATACAGATAACTGTGAGGAGTTGCACTTTGGAAAGTCAAACCAAGGTAGGTCTTATATAGTAAATGGTAAGGTCCTGAGGAGTGTTGTAGAACAGAGGGACCTAGGAGTACATATACATAGTTTGCTGAAAGTGGCATTATAAGTTGACAGGGTTGTGAAGAAGGCATTTGGTATGCTGGCCTTCATCAGTCGAGGCAATAAGTATTGGAGTTGGGATGTCATGTTAGTTGTATAAGTTGTTGGTGAGGCTGCATTTGGAGTATTGTGTACAGTTTTGGTCACAGGAAAGAGATAGTTAAACTGTAAAGTGTGCAAAGAAGATTTATGAGGTTGTTGCCAGGGCTAGTAGGCCTGAGTTATAGGGAGAGGTTGGCCAAGATAGGATTTTATTCCTTGGAATGTAGGAAATTGAGGGGTGACCTTATTGAGGTGTATAAAATCATGAGGGGCGTACAGAGGATGAATGCATTTAATCTTTTTCTCTAGGGATGGGGAATTGAAAACTAGAGGGCATAGGTTTAAGGTGAGAAGGGGAAGATTTAAGAAGGAACTAAGAGGCAACTTCTTCACGCAGAGAGTGGTGCATATATGGAATGTGCTGCCAGAGAAAGTGGTTGAAGCAGGTACAATAGAAACATTTTTTAAAAATTTGCATAGGTATATGGATAGGAAGAGTTTAGAGGGATAGGGACCAAATGCAGGCAATTGGAACTAGCTGAGTGGGCACAATTGTCAGCATGGACCAGTTTGGGCCAAAGGGCCTGCTTCCATGCTGCACTCTACTATTACTCTACTCTATGAAGATACTCTGTGACTCAATGAAGATAAAAACAGCAGAGTCAGTATTAAGGATGAAATATCCTTATATTAAATACATGTTGCTTTGAAGTGGAGAGTTTCACATAATGTACATGACAGGTTTTCAAAGCTTCTGGATTTTGTAAGAACTCAACTGGTGACTAAATTAACTAAAAAATTTCACCACGTTATCCTGATCATAAAATTGACTAAATATCTGGATCCGCAAGCCTCGAAGAAACCTATTGGCTTCCCGCAGGCCCGACCTCCCTGACTGCAAGGAAACCCAGAACCGACGCCCAACCAGCCCAGGAACAATAACTAACCCGGCAGCGACCCAACTATGAGGAAGCCTGCCCTACCCTGCACTGCCTTGCCCAGGAATGACAACCAGACAAGTTCCCCCCTCCCCAGCGTACTTCTGGCAAACATCCAAGCCATTGAGAATAAAATGGATGAACTTAAAGCTAGACCTACATTCCAGAGGGAACTGAGAGGCTGTTGTGTGCTCTGTTTTACAGAGAAATGGCTCACTCCTGCTACACCCGACAGTGCCTTACAGCCTGCAGGTTTCTCTATACATCGCATGGACTGCACGACGTCCTTGAGTAAGGCAAGGGCAGTAGGGTCTGCCTCCTAATCAACATCTCCTGGAGTTCAGATGTAGTGACCCTGGTGAGTTACTGCTCCCTGACCTAGAATATCTAACACTGAAGTGCCATCCCTCCTACATGCCGCACGAATTCACCTCAGCTATCCTGACAGCAGTCTACACACCACCCCATGCAAAAGTGAAGAGTGCTGTTGATGAAATATACACTGCTACAAATGGACTTGGGACAGATTACCAAGGCGTTATTCATCATAAGTGGTGACTTCAACCACGCCAACCTTAAGAGTGTGCTACCAAAATACCATCAACACGTCTCCTGTGCCATCAAAGGGCCGAATATCCTTGACCGTTGCTACATCAAAGATGCCTAATGCTCCACACCCCGTACACACTTTGGAAAATTAAATCACAATGCTATGTTCCTCCTCCTGGCTTACGAGCAGAACTTGAAAAGTGCGGACCAAGTACAGAAAGTAGTACAGTGCTGGCCTGAGGCAGTGGAAGGGCTTCCAGGGGCTGCTTAGAATTGGTGGACTGGTCCATATTCAAGAGCTGAGAGGCCAACCTGGATGAGTATGCCCCGTTACAGACTTCATTAGGAAATGTGTACAGGAAAACCAAAGAAGTCAGTTTGAATGTTCCCAATTAGAAACCATGGATGAACTGGGAGATGGATTATCAACTGAAGTCCAGGTGTGTGGCATTCAAATCAGATGACCCTGACCTTTACAGGAAATTCAGATACAACCTCTATTAGGCCATTACAGATGCCAAGAGGCAATACTGAACTAAGCTGGAGATCCAAACTAACCACACAGGCACACATGGTTTGCGGCACAGCCTGCATGTCATAATGGGCTATAAAGTAAAGAAAACGGTCAAAAATACATCCTTCCACGATACACTCAATGCATTTTATGCTCAGATTGGCCTTTTTGAGAGTGAACCTATGGAAAGCACTCAGATCCTGCCCATACCAGCTGGTAAGAGTATTCACTGACATTTTTGACCTCTCCTTACTACGATCTTAAATCCCAACTTGTTTCAACAAGATCACCATTGTCCTAGTAACAAAGAAAAAACATGCAGCTTGCCTCAATGTTACCACCTGGTGGCTCTGACCTCCATAATTATGAAGTGCTTCAAGAGGTTAGTCATGGCTTACATCAAATGTAGCCTCCCAGCCTGCCTTGAGCCCTTGCAATTCACCGACCGCTGCAACAGCTCCACGACAGATGCCATCTCCCTGGCCCTATACTCATCCCTGGAACATCTGGATAACGTGGATACTTATTGAATACAGTTCGGCCTTCAACACTATAATTTCAACCAAACTAATCTCCAAACTCCGAGACCTAGGTCTCTGCTCCAATCTCTGCAACTGGATCCTCGACATCTACAAGTTCGGTGACGACACCACAGTTGTAAGCCAGAACTCATACAATGATGAGACAGAATACAGGAAAGAGACAGTTTGCTTGGTGGCGTAGAGTAAAGATAAAAATCTCTCCCTCAACATCAGCAAAATGAAAGAACTGGTCACTGACTTCAGGAAGCAAGGCAGAGGGCACGCCCTTATCTACATCAGTGGAAATGGTTAAGAGTGTCAAGTTCCTAGGAGAGATGGTTGCCAACAGTCTGTCCTGGTCCACCCACATTGATGCAACAATCAAGAAAGTACAAAACACCTCTATTTCCTCAGGAGACTAAGGAAATTCAGCATGTCCACGAAGACTGAACATTTTTATGGATGCACCATAAAAAGCATTCTGTACGGGTGCATCACGGCTAGGCACGGCAACTGCTCTGCCCAGGACCCTAAGAAACTACAGAGAGTTGTGAACAAAGCTCAGTCCATCTTGCAAGCCAACCTTCCTTTCATTGACTCCATTTTTACTTCCTGCTGCCTTGGAATGGCAGCCAAAAACATAGAACAGTATAGCATAGTACAGGCCCTTTGGCCCACGATGTTGTGCTGACCTATTATCCTACTGTAAGATCAAACTAGCCTGCATACCCTTCATTTTACTATCATCTATGTGCCTATCCAAGAGTCGCTAAAATGTCCCTACTGTATCTGACTCTACTACCAATGCTGGTAGTGCATTCCATGCACCCACCGCTCTCTGTGTAAAGAACCTACTTCTGACATCTCCCCTATACCTTCCTTCAATCACCTTAAAATTATGCCCCCTCATGAGTCATTTCTGCTCTGGGAAAAAGTCTCTGGCTATCCACTCTATCTATGCCATTCATCATCTTGTACACCTCTATCAAATCACCTCGCATCCTTCTTTGCTCCAATGAGATACGCCCTAGCTCCCTCAACCTTTCCTCATAAGACCTGCCCTCCAGTCCAGGCCGCATCTTAGTAGATCTCCTCTGCACCCTTTCTAAAGCTTCCACATTCTTCCAAAATGAGGCGACCAGAACTGAACACAATATTCCAAGTGTGGTCTAACCACAGTTTTATAGAGCTGCAGCAAAACCTTGCAGCCCTTAAAATCAATCCGCCTGCCATTGAAAGCCAACACACTATACGCCTTCTTAACAACCCTATCAACTTGGGTAGCAACTTTGAGGGATCTATGGACGTGGACCCCAAGATTTCTCTGTTCCTCCAAACTGCCGAGAATCCTGCCATTAACCCTGTATTCTGCATTCAAATTCGACCTTCCAAAATGAATCACTTCATACTTTACTGGGTTGAATTCCATCTATCACTTCTTTGCCCAGCTCTGCATCCTGTCAATGTCCTGTTGCAACCTATAACAGCCCTCCATACTATCCACAACTCCACCAACCTTCGTGTCATCAGCAAACTTACTAACCCACCCTTCCACTTCCTCATCCAAGTCATTTATAAAGATCACAAAGGGCAGAGGTCCCAGAACAGATTCTTGCGGAACACCACTGGTCACCGAGCTCCAGGCTGAATACTTTCCATCTACTACCACCCTCTGTCTTCTATTGGACAGCCAATTCTATATCCAGACAGCTAAATTTCCCTGAGTCCCTTGCCTCCTTACTTTCTGAATGAGCCTACAATGGGGAACCTTATCAAATGCCTTGCTAAAATCCATATACACCATATCCACTGCTCTACCTTCATCAATGTGTACTGTCACATCCTCAAAGAATTCAATAAGGCTTGTGAGGCATGACCCGCCCCTCACAAAGCCATGCTGACTATTTCTAATCAAACTATGCTTTTCCAAATAATCATAAATACTATCTCTCAGGATCCTCTCCAATAATATGCCCAGCACAGAAGACAGACTGACTGGTCCGTAATTCCAACGATTATCCCTATTCCCTTTCTTGAACAAGGGAACAACATTTGCCATCGTCCAGTCATCTGGTACCACTCCAGTGGACAGTGAGGACGCAAAAATCATCGCCAAAGGCGAACCTATCTTTTCCCTCGCTTCCCATAGTAACGTTGGGTATGTCCCGTCCGGCTCAGGAGACTTATCTATTCACATGTTTTTCAAAATTTCTAGCACATCCTCCTTCCTAACATCAACCTGTTCGACCATATCAGCCTGTTTCACACTGTCCTCACAAACTACAAGGTCCTTCTCACTGGAGAATACTGAAGCAAAGTATTTATTAAGGACCTCCCCTACCTCCTCCAACTCCAGGTACAAGTTCCCTCCACCATCCCTGATCGGCCCTACCCTCATTCTGGCCATCCTCTTGTTGCTCACATAAGTATAGAATGCCTTGGGGTTTTCCTTAATCCTGCCCGCCAAGGCTTTTTCATGTCCCCTTCTAGTTTTCCTAAGTCCATTCTTCAGTTCCTTCTTGGCTACATTGTAACCCTGTAAAGCCCTGTCTGATCCTTGCTTCCTCAACCATAAGTAAGCTTCCTTCTTCCTCTTGACTAGATGTTCCACATGTCTTGTCGTCCAAGATTCCTTCACCTTACCATCTCTTCCTTGCCTCAGTGGGACAAACCTATCCACTACTCGTAGCAAGTGTTCCCTAACAACCTCCACATTTCTGTCGTCAACATAATCAAAGACCCCTCGCACCCCGGTTATAATCTCTCTCAAACTCTTCCGTTGGACAGAAGACAAATACGTGTACCAACAGATTCGAGAACAGCTTCTTCCCCATTGTTATTAGACTTCTGAATGGACCTCTCAAATTTAATGTTGACCGCGGCTCTTTGTGCACCTTCTCTGCAGCTGTAACATTGTATTCCTTGCCCTGTTCTATTACTGTTATGCACTTTGTATGGTATGATCTGCCTCTACTGCATGCAAACCAAACTTTTTACTGTACCTACGTACATGTGACAATAACAAGTCAAATCAAAAATGTAACAACACAATCCATTTTGTTATTCAAAATAAGAAATGTCAAAAGTGGTCCAGGTTTGTTAACATTACCTCCACAAATATAGACCATGGGCTGTTGCTTTGGAGGCTGCAAGTCCTTCTGGATATCCATTTCTATCCAATTTTCAGTTTAAACTGAAAGACAGTCAAATGTGAATAATAATATAGTCATCAAGTTTTGACTTAGACAGTTCTACTTGGGTTTTCTAAATATCAATTGTAACAGACTAGTCAGATGTTAAAATACTAGCTTTGATATTTGTCAGTGAATCTGTTAAATTCAAAAACAAAATATATGTTTGGTAAACCTAACCTCCAATTCCATTTCCAACGACAGTGATGTAAAAGTTTCATGTCTTACTTTATACTGGCAAACTTCAAAAAGTATAGTTCTTTTAGCTAGTGTTCCACTTGTCTGGATGACTACAGCTCTTAGAGCATTCAATAATCTTGATGCTACAAAGTACAAAGCAGCCCACTTGACTAGCACTGTACCTACAACCTTAAATATTCATTTCCTCTATCATAAATAGGTCCCACACGAGATTAACAAACAAGGCAAGGGAATGTGGCAGAATGGATTACACATTGGCTTCAAGACAAAACAGAGAATATGAGTAGAGGGTAATTATTAAGAATGGCAAGAAATGAGAAGTGGTTTTCCACAAGGATCAATGATGGAAACATTGCTTTTCACAATTTACATTACAGTTTCTAAATTTTCAAATGAAAACAAATGGTGGTGATGCTGGTCAAGGGAGGGTTAATATCAAGGGCTTCAAAAAAAAACCCACGGGGAGGACATTTATAAAATTATGCACAATGGGGAAAAAATTAGCAAATGAAGTTCACCACAGGTAAAGGTGACGGAGTGCATTTTGATAAGACTAAGCAAGTCAGTTGTTACCTGGAAGTGTCAATTGGGTACAAATACAGAAATAATTAGAACTTCAGCCAAAGGTTACAGCCCACAAGTAAAGCAAACTAAGCACCAAGCTTTATTTCTAGAGGGATAGAACTTGAAAAGCAGGGATGTTACGCTAAATCTGAATTGGAACTTGGTTACAGCATAGAGTACTGTGTGCAGTCTAGCCACCATATTATAAATAGGATATGGAGACATTGGAGAGGATGCAGAAGATTTACAAGAACGATAACTGAAATTACATAACAAGAAAGGATTGACTGACTGGATTTCTCTCCTTTGAAAAAGTGCTGATGGGGTGCCCAGTAGAAATATTTAAAATTATTATTTCTTTTTGGAAATAGAGTGGGCACAACATTTCCTTTTGTTGAGGGAATGGCCATTTATATAAAATTATCACCAAGAAACCCAACAGAAATTTCAGAAGAATCTTCTATACCCAAAGGGTGGTGAGAATGCAGAACTTCCTACCACAAGAGAGTGACTGAAGCAAACAGTATAGATGTAAGAGAAACCAGGCAAAGGTATCAGGGAGAAACAGATTTACAGTGCTGAACTCGTATGAGACAATAGTCCCACTTCTGTTGGACAAGTGCATCCATTTTTGGGCTCCAGATAGAACGTGAAGGCATTGGAGAGAGTGCAGAAAAATTTCATGAGAATGGTTCAGGAATGCGGAACATCAAAATAGAGATATACTGTAGAACATGGGACCATGTCCCTGGAGAAGAGAAGTCTGAGAGGAGATTTGTCAGAGGTTTTCAAAATGATGAGGTGTTTGGTGGACAGAGTAGATAGGAAGAAACTGGTCTCACTGGTGTAAGGATTGAGAAAGAGAGGGCACAACTTTAAAGTAACAGTCAAAACATGTAAAAACAACATGAAGAAAAACATTTCCACAACATAATTAGTTAGGGTCTAACAGTGTGGTAGAGACAGGCTCAATTGAGAAATTCTAAAGGGAATTAGACTGTTATTTGAAAAGGAAAATAATGTACGGCTACAGGGAAAAGGCTGTGGAAAGGTAGCACAAGGCGAATTGCTCAATTGGAGAGCCACTGTGCATACAATGAGTTGAATGGTCTCCATCCACAGTGCGATAGATTTAGGTGAGGCAAAAGTGGACTATAAACCAACAGACGTGTATCAAAGCAGCCTATGTCTGTGCCACATGCAAGCAATTTACAAGATGCACTACAGACTCTGGTCAAGCTCCTTCAACAGCAGATTTTAAAGCTGCAACTTCTTCCCACCTTTGACAAGGGCAGATGTACAGTATTACCAAATTCAAACTCCACTCCTAAGTTACACCACCTTGACTTGGAACTAAATTTTTATTTCTTCAATGTTCCTCGTTTAAAATCCTGGAATCGCCTTCCTAACAGCACTGAATTGACAACATTGACTGCAGCAGCTCAACTAAGGAGTTAACCAGCACCTTCACAAGAGCAATTACCGCTGCCACCATTGCTCCTATCCATTAACAATTTTTTAAAATGTGACCAGATCACATCTTTTAAGCATCCATTAAGGAATAGCGCAGAGATTCTTGAACTGCAAAATACTGAAAGATCACAGTAGAATAAGCAGTACGAGAGGCAGAGAGCACAGTCAGTCAAAGGTTTCAAAAGCAACAGAAAAAAAAATTAAGCTGTGACATCACAGAGCAGCAGGTAAGTAGTTGTTTAGTGAGCGTTACAGATTGAGTTTTGATCCCCAAGCTAGGGAATTTGGTTCAGCTCATCTAATAATGAAGTAATAGCAAGTTATAAATTAATAACTAGATTTAGACAGCAAAGGTAAAGTAGGCAATTAGAATTCAAAGTGTTACATTATTTTCTGATAAGGGTAGGTAATAGCACAATAACAGAGTAGCAGGGATACCTCAGCCCCACACAGTGCCTGTCAGACTTCAGTACCCCTTCTCATATTAAAGAGACAGTTATAGACATAACATCAGATGGTACGCCAGAAGGGTGATCAAATGAGACCAAACAAGTTAACTAAGGAACATAAAAGGGATAATCATAATCACCATTGACAGTATACTGTACACTTTCAAAGAGTTAGAGATAAATCAAAGAATAAATACACAAGTGCAGAGCAATAACAGTAGCTAGGAATTCAATTACCTTAATACTAACTGGGATAAAATTACTGTTTAAGGTACAATTTTCTGAAAAGTAAAGCTAAGCAGATCAGTGGGATAGCATTTTGTTAGCGATTGTAATGCAGTGAGTTTTACTGCAGTAATGGAAAATGATACACAAGAAAGATTAACTTTTTTTTGAATGTCCCACTTTACAAAGCTGAGATGTGATTAAGCCAACATGGTACCTGTGGATATCAAGGAGCACATGGAGTAGGAGATGGCAAAAAAAAATCTTGTGGCAAAGGCTGAAAACTCAAAACTGAAGGAGTCTAAAGGAGTATAGAAAGTGCAGGCTGAAATTATAAAAGCCAAAACATAGTATGAAGAAATTTTGGCATCTAAAATTAAAGTAAACCAAACATGCTCTATAAAAAGAGCAAGAGGACAACTAAGGAAATTTAAGGGTCCATAAGTCATGAACGGAGGTGGAAGACCCAGGCATGACTCTTAATGAAGACTTTGCAACTGTGCTCATGAAAGAGGCTGACAGTGTAGAAAGAAATATTGCATAGAATTAATATATATATTTGTATACCAATTTAGCAAGGCAGCATTAAGAGGTTTTAAGTTGCCAGGGCCTTTCCAGGATGAAATGTATTGCAGGCTAACAGAATATAAGCAAGGAAATAGTGAAGTTTTCCGAGGAAGGGTCCCAACTCGAAACGTCAACTTTCTTGTTCCTCTAATGCTGCCTGGCCTGCTGTGTTCCTCCAGCTCCACACTGTGTTATCTCTGACTCCAGTATTTGCAGTTCTTATTATTTCTAATAGTAAAGTTGTGTCATTTTCCAATCCTCTGGCTTCAGGTTTCAGCATTGTCATTCATTGTTTAAGAATGGAGAAAGGATAGCCCAAGTTCCTTACAGGTCAAAGGAATGCTACCCTATTTGGAGGACAAATTACTAGAAAAAATTTGAGACAGTATAAAGCATATAGAAAGATGCAAATTAAGCAAGATCGTCAGCATGGATTGAAAGGTAGGTCATGTGTGACAATGTGTTTTTTACAAGGTCATACAAGCACAGGTCAATGTGGGTAACTCATTTGGGGCGTAATTAAGCTTACAGATACAAAAATTAATCATAGTTCCTAGTGAGGGAGGAATGTGCACGAGAAAAATCAATGCAGTTGTCAGCCAAATAAGGCAAGGAAATACACACTAAATGGTATGACAATAAGAAGTGTAGATGATGAGGAACATTGGATAGAGATCCACAGATCCCTGATGTAACAGAGAGGTAGTTAAAGTGATCAGGGAGGCATACAGGATATAGTCTCTGCCTGAACTAATGAAAGAAAGTAAGATCAGGGAGATACGAGAGAACTATGCAGAACACTAGTTAAACTCGAATTGCCTACAGTTCTGGGCACTATATTGCAAGAAATCCATTTAAGATCTTTAGACACACCTTCCAAAACCGTGACCACTTTCAGCTAGGACAAGGGCAGCAGATACATGGGCACACCACCATCTGCAAGTTCCCCTCCATGCCACTCACCATCCTGACGTGGAAGTATTATGCCATTCTTTCACTGTCATTGGGTCAAAATCCTGGAAGTTCCTCCCTAATAGCATTGTTAGGTCTGTCAACAGTATTGGACTGCATGTTCAAGAAGTCAGCTCACCACCACCTTCTCAAGGGGAACTAGGGACGGACAATAAATGCTGGCCCAGGCAAAGACGCCCCCGTCCCACGTGTAAATAAAAGAAAACGTCAGCGGAGTTCTGAGCAAGGGTCACCGGACCCGAAACGTTAACTCCGTTTTCTCCTTCACAGATGCTGCCAGACCTGCTGTGCTTTTCCAGCAACTTTGTTTTTGTTCTTGATTTACAGCATCTGCAGTTCTTTTGGTTTTTAAAAGGTCAACGGAGATTGACAAGTTTGTTGGGAATAATAATACTGAATTCAAGACATGAACGAATGGTTAATAGCATTCTATTCCACTCACCACGCTGCTGCCCCCACTCCCCAAATTTGATACAGAATATGCAAAAGTGAGATTTTGAAGGGTAGTTTAAAAAGTGGTTAAGCGTGGGAAAGTCAGAAAAATTTTATTTTTTAAAAAAAGTGACACATCCAACTCATTTTTCAATCTGACATAACGGGCTGAATGGCACCTGGCTATGCCTCCACAGTAGTTCCCTGCCACTAGAATCCCAGCAACGAAACAAGACGGAAAGACTCAAAACAGAAGCAAGTTACACTTCCACCGATTTGCTCCGATGCTTTCCAACGACTCCTATCCCACACTAAGCCCGAGGCCCCTACCATTACCAATAACCTCTCTTTCTCTTCCCCCAAAGAATTTTTTTTATCGATCCGGAGGCCAATTACTTCGAGATTATTCGCGGGATATCGATCTGTTTGTACCCATTCCCTCCCTCCTTTCTTCCTACCTACCTTGGCAGCATCTACCATCTCCCAGTGGAACCGTCTGGAAAAATGTGCCTCCGCAGCACAAACGCGCAACAGGCCGACCACTTCCGGTTGGCGAGAACAGTAACGCGGCCGCTGACAGGTCGTCCGGCTAACCAATCAGAGTTTTGGATACGAAATTCGAACGGCAGCGGCGGCACTGGATCATGAGGAGGGGTGTGGGGTGACAGCTGAAGAAATAAACTTTAGGAAGGTAGCCTGTTAAAATACAAATGTAAGTGCCGTTTAACCAGAGGTTGCTCGCCCGGTTCTTGGTGGATTGAAAGCTTCTGCCGTATCAGCTACGTAAGTATGAGACAAAAACCGAAATAACTGCGGATGCTGTAAATCAGGAAAAAAAGACCCGAAGTTGTTGGAAAAGCTCGGCAGGTCTGGCAGCATCTGTGAAGAAAAAAAAAAATCAGAGTTCACGTTTCGGGTCCGGTACCCTTCCTCAGAACCGGTTCTGCTGCCGAGCTTTTCCTGCAACTTCTGTTTTTGTACGTAAGTACGAGGCGGTGCTTCGTGGTTTAAATAGAGCCTCGTCTGTCTCCCTCAGTGTTTCTGCTCTATTGAACTGCTCGCTGGGCCTCGAGGCGTCTCCACAAACTCGAAAGAACTTTGAGTCTGCCTTCGCTTCAGTAAGTTGTACGTTTGCGTGCTCGAGGGAATGCTTTCTTGCATGTCGTAGAGACGAGCGGAGTGAGTGGTGGAGGGGGAAGGGGAAGGGGAGGGAGTGGTGGGGGGTGGTGAACGAAAGGGGAGTAGAATCCATTGTCTCTTTCCCAAACCCCTCTAAATGTCAACATTTGATTCTATTGTACATTGCTTGGCATCATTTAGATCATGTTAATTCAGCATGTTCTGGTAAATATTTTTCTGTATAATCTCTTCTTATTTGAATAACTTGAGAAAATCTCTGATCACAATTCCAAGCCTTTTCAATCTGGATCTCAAAAGAAAGTTTCCTTTTGCCTGGCATAGATTTATGCTGAATGATTTGTGGTTTGATCATTGAAGGAATCTTTTGCATAAGGCTGTTATAACCTCTGACTTTAGGTTATATATGTCTTTTTCCTGAAAAATAAAAAATATTTCTGTCTTTCTTTGTATCTATCTATAAACAGCTCTTTTGATTCAATGAAATTTTATAAGATACTAATGAGGTCTGCAATTGAAGATGTTGGATTACATGTTTCACTGTCTGTCTATATGATCTTGGCTAGTTAGCTATTGTACAGAGATAGTAAGAATTGCAGATGCTGGAGAATCTGAGATAACAAGGTGTAGAGCTGGATGAACACAGCAGGCTAAGCAGCATCAGAGGAGCAGGAAAGCCGACGTTTTGGGCCTAGACCCTTCCTCAGAAATGGGGAAGGGGGTTCTGAAATAAATAGGGAGAGAGGGGGAGGCGGATAGAAGATGGATAAAGGAGAAGATAGGTGGAGAGGAGACAGATAGGTCAAAGAGGCAGGGATGGAGCCAGTAAAGGTGAGTGTAGGTGGGGAGTTAGGGAGGGGATAGGTCAGTCCAGGGAGGATGGACAGGTCAAGGGGGCGGGATGAGGCTAGTTTGTAGGAAATGGGGGTGGGGCTTGAGGTGAGAGGAGGGGATAGAATCTGTGTTTTGGCAAATGAGTGAAAATGGAATATTTGCAGGGGTGCAAGTGCCTATAAATTGTATTCCAGCAAGCCTCCATCACGTTTAGAAAAGGAGAATGCAGAAACCTTGCCGGTACCAGCTGGAAACCTTCATTGGGTGCATAGTTTTAAATATAAGGAAAAGTCTAGGAATGACCTTTTTTGTTCAAAATACTGAACCCCACCAAAGAGAGAGATTTAATTTTATCTATATTCACGTTGTCTTGAGCATCTTAATTAAATGTGGTTTTACTGCTTGCTAAACTGAACCTTTACATGGAGTGTTCCAAAGCAGTTCCATTGGAGGCCTCAAAGATGCATGTTCAAACCAGCTGTAGGATTGATCCAAAAATGCTCTTTTGACATACAGGATAGGGGCAATGCAAACTCTTCGGAATATGTTTCTGGGGTTATAAGCAGATTTACTTTCTGCATTTTTATTCCATGGCAGTTATCAGAGGAGTTTCCCTGGGATGTGTGAGCATTTTCCTCATTTGTTTGAGCAGTTTGGATTCAAAAGGGGCACTTACAAAATTCCAATGGTGACAGTTACAGCATCTTTAAAGTCAGGAAATACGTTGAACAAAAATGTTTTAATTTGTTTTTAATCTTATGGGTTTTCAATATTTATATGTATTTACATGGAATTCCACTGATTCACTAATTGTATTGACAATTTATTTTTGACTTAAATATGGAAGTTTTGTACAAGGGGATATAGAGATCCAAGCATGTTTATGCATACCAAAATACCCAGAAAACAGCATTGGATGAAAACTATGAATATATTCTCCCAATAAAAAACTGAAAGAACTGCAGATTCAGAAACAAAAACAAATTGCTGGAAAAGCTTAGTAGGTCTGGCAGCATCTGTGGAGAGAAATCAGTGTTAATTTTTCAATCCTGTGGCCCCTTCTCAGAATATTTTCTCTCACTTCCAAAACTGTAGGCTCTTTAAGCTTAATGTAAGGATCACCATAGATGAGGATATTAAAAGCTCTGGATTTTAAAGTTGAAGCAAAGTAACTTAATTAGCACAAATTAATTTGTAATGGTTTCTAGAAATGGATTGGTAGATGGCAACCGCAATTCAAAGTGATGTGGGGCCAGAAAATCAAAACATGAAGTTTTCATAGAACTATGTCATCTTGTTAGCAAGGGAATTCAAGTTGCCATCCAGCAATTGAAGGAAAAATGTATTTCATGCATTAGGAAAATGGTAGACAATGGACAGCAGCAACCAAAAGATAGATTTTTATTGGCATTTTCAGATTGCAATGATGTGATGACAGATTGCACATTGATCAATGTTACTGCTGTCACTCTTTATTTTATATGCAAATGTTTCATGTTGGATTGAAAGACTGGGATTGAGAGAGTCTGCTGGAAGATTTGTTTGGAAAAATAGATGGCAGATGCAGTTCAGCACAATCGAGAGAGCTAATATACAAGAAAAAAGAAATAGGAGCAGTAAGAGGGTGCATGTGTCAAGCCTGCTCTGCCATTCAGTAAAGTCATAGCTAATCTTCAAATTTAACTCCCATTTTCTGACTAATTTTCCCTATTTTGCCTTGATTGGCTTATGTCCAAAAAATCTATCAATTTCAGCCTTGAATTTATCTACAAACCGTCCACAGCTTGCTGGAGTAGAGAAGTCTTTTTGTCCTCCAACCTTTCCATTTAGCTTTGTATCTTCAACAAACTTGGATATCTTATACATGGTTCCCTTCTTCCAAGTTATTACTATATGTTGAAATTAGTTGATACTAGACCATTATTACAGCACCCAACTAGTAACAACCTGACTATATCCGTCCCGACCGAAACGTCAGCTTTCCTGCTCCTCTGATACTGCCTGGCCTGCTATGTTCCTCCAGCTCCACACTCTGTTATCTCTGACTCCAGGATCGGCAGTTCTTACTATCTTCAATTTTATTCCTGTTGTTTTCTCTCTAGCCAATTTTTCCATCCATGTTTATGTATTACCCCAACCACACAAACCTTTTATTATGTACGACAACCTTTCATGTTGCAGTCTCTTTAAAATAAACTACATTGAGAGATGAAAGGTCATAGAACCAAAGTGCTAAGGGTTTCCTCTCCACAAGTTCTCTCAGGTCTGCTGAGTATCTTCAATGTTCTGTTTTTACATTGCTTACTTTTTATACGGTAAATGGAGTGGGGCAAATTGAAATGTTTATTCCTGCAAATAGGTTGATTTCAGCGTAGAAGTGGAAACCAATGATAGATTACTTAAAAATGAGAATTCAACTAAATAAAAATCCATGTGAAATCGACAGTCAAGAATGTGACAAAATTAACTGCAGAAAGGTACCATGACCAGGACACATTTAGAAAATAAAATGTACTCCTATGAAGTGATAGTCCCATTGCAATTAATGGGACTGCAATTAATATAAGAAAACAAGACAATTAACCTGGGGTAATACCCGAAATGTTGACTGCTCCTTTCCCCCAGATGCTGCCTGGCCTGCTGTGTTCTTCCAGCCTCCTGTTTGTCTGCAATTAACCATAAGTGGATCAGAGAAGTAACGAAAATGGTCAAAATCAACTTGATAGAGATGGGACTAGTATTGTATTCGAGTCTTTATTTCCACAAAAGCAAATGCAGTGTAGAAGAAAACTTTAAAGGCTAGATTTGCTCAGTAATTTTCTCAAGGGGGCAAAATTTTATAGTGGTCATGTCACCGGACCAGTTATCCAGAAGCCACTAATGCTCTGTGTATGTGGGCTGAAATTGGAATCCAAGTTCAATCAATACAAAACTGGAATTAAAATCTAGTCTTTGTAGTTGTGACTATAAACCTTATTTCAGTTTGCTGTAATAACCCATCTGCTTCTGTAATGTCACTTACGGAAATAAATCTGCTTTCCTTACCCAGTCTGGCCTACGTGTGACCCCAGATCCGTGATAATGTGGCTGATTTTTAACTACCTTCTGAAGTGAACCACCAAGTCACTCAGTTCCAGAATAGTTAAGGACCAGCAACAAATTCCACAACAACTAAAAACAAAAAATTTGGAGGAGGAATCTAGAGTGGAGGGCAAAGTATCTGCGCGAAATAAATCTGCATTGGCATTTTAAGAATGATGGTGGAATTGAGAATATTCAATCTGTGCTGTAGCTAGAACCTGATAACGAAGGCAATTATTATTGGAAGAGGTTGAAGCCATTTACATCAGAACAGGGATTTTAAAATCTATTGGAAAAGCATAGTGAGGAAAGGGATGGTGTGGGACTTGAAATAAGTTGCAGGAGTTCTAAAATTTTGGATGATTTTGGAGCTTGGGAGGACCATGTTTATTGTGTATCTGGTTGCAAATACCACCATTGTTCAGAGAGCTGTTCCTAGTGATTCTGAGCCTTGTGATAGTTTGCTTGCGATCCATCCCTCATACTATGACCATGAAACAGAACTTTCAGTGGCTCATGTGTGATCATTCTGCCCATGCTGAGTGGATATTTTTCTCCTGGTGATTTTTCAAACTTTGTATAAATTTGATTTTGATATGCAAAATATATTTTTTCCTGCTCCAGTATCTTGTTTGTTTTCATTCTGCATATTTAGCCATATTCACTTGTTCAATATAAAGTTGCACCCTGGTGGAATCTCAGAATTACATAGCAAGAAAGGAAGCCATGGTTTTCAAAGGATGAAATGCTGAACTCTTTCCTGTATAACTTGTAGCCAGGGATAAAAGTTCTCAATCCTCCCCTTGTTTTGACCTAGATGTCCATTGTTGATGTTATCACTTAATTCCATGTACCTCCAGCTCACCAGTCTTATTTATAATATTGTGGATTTACACACATGCCTCTTTGCCTATTTTGCATTTCTCCCTATTTGATCCCTTTTTTTTTCTAATACTGTCTTTTTATTGTAACGTTATTTGTCTCTCCTAATTCAGTCAGCACTTTTATCCCTCCAATCCTGGTGCCAACTGAACTACTTTAAGCCCTTTCAACACCAGTGAGAACA